TATATATATATATATATAAATACACACCACATATATGTATATATACATACGTGTGTGTGTATATATATTTGGCGCAACAGATTATATGATTATATAATACAAATTAAATCTACGTCCTTTATGAATTATTTATAATTAAAATAGTTTAATTAAGTGTTTCCTTAGAATTTAATGAATTCTGAATTGCTTTGATATTAAAAATTATGAATATTAAAGAAAATTAGGATTACATATGTAACATTTGAAAGAATATTAAAAACTAATCGATATACTTGATTAAAAATTAAAATAATTATTTGTGTAGAATAATTATTGCTACTACTACTAGTACTATTACTATTATTTATTATTACTATTTATTATTATTATTGTTAATGTAATTTAATTTTTTTTAGCAATTCAGATTCATGATAATTTTATTTCTCTTTATGTATATACAGGCTTGTGCATTTAGTAACTTCTTCATATCTCTAAACATCCAGAATTAAAAGTAGAAAACAAATTATTCACCTTTATGCAATATAAAAATTTTCCCCCGATATAATACCGAAATTTATTTTTTTAATTTCTTTCATAATTTAAACTGTTATATTTATTATTCTATTTATAACATTTATTAATATCATTTTTTTAAATTTGTATACATTTATACTAAATTTTTTACTATAGCTTTCAGTTTTTAAATAATAAACTTTAATTTATATTAAATAACACGTTTTTAACTACTATTTGCTTTCATTTTGATAAATTTATAAAAAGAAAGATTACAAAACAATTATTCATATCACAAGTTTATAAAAATCTTATATTCCAAATAAAGTATTTAAGAAATTGTAAATTATTTTTAATCTGAAATATGATACTAAATACTTTAGCCAGTATATACATGTATATGCTCCAATTTGTGATTATCAAGGAAACTTAAGCGCTACCACCCTTAACAACGACGATTACCAAATGATCCTCCTTAAGTCCCTCTTCACTGAGACTTGGACAGGTTCGTTTTAATAATTCTGTAGAGAATGTACAAGGTGGAAATGCATAAAGCACCCCAGTTCCTTCTGTATCTTTGTTAAGCAACGAAATGACACCAGCTGCTTCTTTTTGCTTTAAATATGATACTAGATTGCGTAAAGGTCTAGTTTGAACATTAGCATCATCTGTAGATATAACTGTACTTGAACCAGCCAATCCTAGGAAAATAGCATGCGAACTAGAAGTTTGAATTCTCTTTGACACATCATCTAATTTTGGTTGATCTAAACGTAATCTTTGAGTAATTCTCAACATATGTTTCCCATCTTCATCTTTCATCAAGGCCTCAATTATTTCTGTGTCACCATCAGTTAAATGGAATTTAGCTGGAAATAGAGAATTTTTTAAGATTAATGCTCCTTGCCAAACTGCTATTGATTTCCTTGCCACTTCAGGTAATGTTCTGGAAGTAGAAAGCATTCCACTACGAGTATTCTCTGAATCTGAATCAGAATCAATTTGTCTTCTACGGGGAGATCTTGATCTTGATCTGTCTACACCAGGTTCCCTTGATAAAGATCGACGCAAGCTTCTTGGTGTTTCATATTCTAACTCTGGAGGCGGTCTGCGGCTAGACCAATCAGCTTCTTCTCTTATGTAACTTTCTGGATAAGTTCCGCGATAACCTCCTCTACCTCCACCCCTTCTTTCATGCCAAGGAGCAGATCCTCGACCTCTGAATCCTCTTGGTCCATAACCAAAATCACTATCTGGTCCATAAGGATCATAAGAAGGTTCGTAATCTACTGGTCTTGGTCTAAACTCTCCACTTTCTTCTGGATAAGGTCTAGGCTTAAATCCAAATCCTGGAGTCACATCTGCAAAATCTACTCTCAGTCTTCTATCTGGACCACCCAATGGAAATCCTCTCATTTCTTTTACAGCAGCTTGTGCTGCATCAATTGAATCATATAAGATATAAGCATTACTATCGCCTTTTATGTAATCAATTTTTTTTATTGCTCCAAATCGATCAAATTCCCTTTCTAATTGCGGTACAGAAGTCCAAGGTCCTAAACCACCAACCCAAATTCTTGTAGTAGGTGTAGCTTTTCCATATCCAATTTTACATTGGAATTTTCCTATGTATTGTCCAGAAAGTTCAACTTTACATCTGTGTGCCATATCCAATGTCTGAAATCTGACAAAAGCATAAGCATTTCCTGTTCCTGGCGGAGGTCTTTTAATGTCAATGTCATCAACAATTCCATATTTACTAAAGATTCTTCTTAATTCTTCTTCTGTGATGTTGATTTCTAAGTTTCCTGCAAAGAGTGTTCTTGTTGCTAGAGGATCATCTTCTGGAGAAACATGATGCAAATAATTAGGGAATTTATCCTTTTTATTCTCCACACGTTCAAATCCATGAACTGGATGTCGAATCATCATATGTCTTGGAGGGCCGTAATGATGAGGTGGACCAGGATGAACATGAGGTGGGCCATGATGAATAGGTGGTCTAACAAATTCATGATGCGGGGGAGGAATTGTTTCACGTCTCATTTCTCTATGCGGCGGGGGCAAACCAACTGGAGGACCATAAACTCTCTCATATCTTTCCAAAGGTCTGTGTCTATCTGTTGGACCAGGACTTCTGGCATAGTATCTTTCATAATCAGGAGGTGTGATTGATCTTGGGCGACGATAAGTATCAGGTCTTTCATAAACTGGTTCGACAAGTGCAACCTTATCATACATAATGATTCTTGGTTTTGCATGTTTTGCATCTCTGGCATCTTCTGAACTTCTGAAGCAAACATATGCAACACGTTCGTCTAATTCATGAGAAATTCTAATAGAAAAATCTCCAAACTTCTTATATTCTCTGTAAAGAGTATCTTTTATCACTTCATCACTTGCTTTCGGATGAATTGAACTGATACAAAGCACTTTGTAACTATACGGACGTTCAGGGGGTAGCTCTCTGGGTGCTCTTAAATAATCATCTCTATGTGAGCTTGATTCTACATAACGAGCATGAGAGGAGGCACGTGTCGGAGGACTAGGACTTCTTGCACCTCTACTACGTCGACGAATTCTTTCAGGAGTTATTCGTTCATCACTAGAATCATCATATCTGTAAATTAATTAAAGGTTGTCTCAGCATCATTAAAATACTTTTTGTTATATTCTAGAACAAAAAATTTGAACAATTTTC